TAAACATTTCTGAAACTTTAAGTGTTTGAGCTTATACTTTAGCACGAACAATCATCTAGTGGATCTCTACTGATATTGTTTAAATTATGGCCCTGGTATCCAAAATGGCTGCCACGGTGATCTTTGGTTTTCTTTTTATGTTACGTCATGTATATAATAAAACCTTCAAAACGTTTTTATGAAACCCCTCGGGGTACAGTCTGGATACTTGACATGAAACACTGTGTAGTTGACCACTATCAGGATTGTACGGACTCTGGTCCAGGGGTCAAGTTTGGCTGATTATCTTTTGCTTCCAGTAAAGAGTCCCTTTTAGAAATACATTGTAGTATTTTGATAACAATTCTACCCTGTGCCAGTTAGTTTTACACGTGCATGCATTTTCATGTTACATTTGTATTCAAATGTGAATAAGTTATTTCCACAACAGAGGCCAGTTTTTGTATCCGTGTTAGTTTGTAATTATAGATTCTTATAAAACTGGAATCTCTCCTTTTATGTTGAACGGATAGGATTCTTTTGTGTGTGTTCGTGCCCCGCATGAATAATTTGAACAAACAAGAATAAAAGTATTTTTTGCCACATGTATAACCCCAGCTCAAAAATCCGAACCCCGTTGTCCTAACACTGGTTAGGGAAAATATATTTCAATCAATATCTGTTATCATTATATAAAAAAGTAACCTAAACAATGGTATTATTCACCATTTTTTGAACAATGGCAAGTTTACCTTATGACACAAATATTGCTATTTTCTTTTATCTTTCCATCGTTTAAATTAAAATTATGAACCAAAAACATGACCTTTTATACAAGTAAAATGGGACATAATATGAACTATATTCCTGATGTAATTGATGTTTTAGTTTACTTTGTTTTTGTCTTTACAATTGAAATAATTATGACAAAAGAAATGAATAAAACAATTAATACCGAGTATAAATTATCAAAGAAAGTAAGGCAATATTGCAACTAGCACTGGTTACTTTAAATCACATTTATTATAACAACAGCAAAAGATCTATGATGATAATGATGATGATTTAAAGATTATGACTACGATTTAAATATATGTCAATTCGATTTTTTAAAGACATAGTAAATCTCTAATTTTATTTATTTATTTTAATTATTAGTTTATTAGAGTTTTATCGATGTACACAAATGAAGTACATAATATATAATGTAATATGAATGCACATTGTCAATAGAGAACAAAATGTTTAATTACTATTTACATAAAAAAAATTAAAATACTCTTGCTAATTTAAATCCGAGTTGTGAACATCTGTTATAAAATGGATCTACTGAAGTAAATTAAAATACCGGGTAACATTTAATATATCACAAAGGTATTATAAACTTCAATCTATACTAAGATATTATAGGCGCAATTAATCATATTAGGTTTAGAAGAATAGCAAAGGTATTTTCTAGATAATAATGTACATATAAAAAACAAAATGTTATTCAGAATAATATCAGGTGTATAAAATTAATTTTCTTCTATCCACTATGTTAAGAAAATTATATGATATTAACTTAGTATAGATTGAAGTTTATAAGTACATATTTACAAAATTTAGTTGGCCAATACGTACTAATAAATTTTAACCGTTTACGGTTTTAAATTATTTTTACAAACTGTCGATTTACTAGACTGATTTTACCATAGTAAATGTGTTACGATTCATTTAAAATACTAAAATCCTATTGGACAAATTTTTTTTAAAAAACTAATTATAGTAATTGGCATGTTTTTCATGAGCTAATGAAAGCACTATCTTAATATAACTTGTTAACGTGATCGCATATAATAGACCATACGCTAAATTAAGTTGAAATATTAAAGTCATCGATTCCCTAATTTTCTTCCACATATTTTAAAATTCTTTGAGAGACGGTTTGAGAGCTCAAGTCCTATTTAAAATTTAGCCTAAATCGTGCCCGATCTATATTATTGTACTTAAAACTTTACAAGTTAACATGAAATATTGCCAGGTGTTCGAAATAACAGTTGGTATAGAGAGCGATGTAGACTTGTCCTGCCCTACATTCAAAGCCTTTTCATAAAATTCCAAATTTGTAACATTATCTAATGGTTTATTTGGTGACAACCACCATTATTTTCCAATATCTAGGGCAATGACATTTAACACTATCTAATCTATCTGAGACAAAGTTGGTGAACTAAATCTGAAAGGTGATTATTAATCATATTGTACAAACTCCTGTTAATTTTGCAAGTAGGATCAATGGAATCGTTTGCCATGCGTTTTAAAGCCATGTAATCAATCCATTGCACGAATTGATGTTTGATTTATGATGTCTTTTCCATTTTCTTTTTCTACATGTTCATAATGTCAGACATAGCCTACAGAGGTGTACTTGTCTTTAAATGTACTTACAAGTCGAAGGTGCCCGAAGTCTAATATTCACTTAATATTAGTTTCAAATGACCTTACTAAACATTTGGTTAAAATAGTGATACTTATTTTCGGTATAGTTAACAAGAAATGTTAGTAAAATTAACCTGTTTATAAAGAAATTATTAAAAGCAATCAAACAATGAAAATTATGTGATATCAATTCTGGCATTTAAAATATGGACATGTGTACCCATTGTTCACGATTGTATTCCATTATTTAAATCTGTTTTGTCTAATTTAGCTCGGCTTTTGGAAAAGTAGGGAGAGCTATTGTACTTGTCACTCTTTTATTATGGTTTTGTGTGGGTCACTGCCCAACGCTCATAACTCTTATATGACTTTTTTTTACAGAATTTTGGCCCTTTTTGGCTATCATATTTCTACATTAATCAAGCAATAGTTTACTATCAAGCACTTAAAATAGTCGAGTCGACAGCTCTTGATATTTTTTTTTTTGCGAAAGCAATGTTTAAAACCTAATCAATTCAAGAACCATTCACTATGGCCCAGAATCAAAACAAATGATACTAGTAATACCATTTTTCTATTTTAAAACATTGGCCGACAGATCTAAGAAGCTACTGACATATATGTGATGATAACTTATATCTAGAGAGTTTTCCTCGAGGGTCATTCATTTGATATTTTCCAGGTATGTGCTATCATACCAAAATTAAAAGACAGTCTACAAAAATACGAAATTGTACTGCCATTTATTTAAGAATACTTAATTGGTTTTCATTTGCTTAAGTGTTTTCCCTACGCTTTATCAGCCCTGCAAATTTCAGCGTCTTAGTGGTGTTAGGGCAAACTTATAACTAGATTTTGAGGTTACAAAAATGAGGGATTATACTTTATTCTTTACATTACAATTTAACTTGAAATAAAATCAAGTGAACGACCCTCTTTTTATATGGCCTTATCAATGTAGAGCAATATTTTGAGTATATATTAGAAAAAAAAATCTCAAGAAGCTTTATTTCTGCTCACGAGATGGAAGGAAGACTTTAACAAACTTAAGAAGAATACTCAGCGCAATATGCATTCATTATGTAAGTACTTTGATAGAAATTGTTTTATTTTAGAGATTTTAGTATTGTTTTATTTTAGAGATGTTCTCTTATCGTCATAGACGAACCTTTCGGTTATGTTGACTTAGTTCTTGATGGATGTCTTTTTCAAAATATCATACAAGTGTACTTGTTATAGATATTATATTAAAAGGAAGCATTAATAATTATAAAGAAGAAATGAAAACGTGACATAACAAAGTATTTCTCGATTTCTAAATGTGGAGTTAAATCAAACAATTTATTATTAGTATTAACCTGTAGTATTTGAAAAGTTGTTTCGACTCTCTTTTTATACTTAACATAAATTATTTATAATCAACCTCAACGTTTTGTTAATTTTGTTTCAGATATACCTTTCCTCGTTCTACTTGGATCACTGAGTATAGTTGGTTTGTACTTTCTTTTAAAGTTAAATACTTTCATCAATTTAATTTATAAAATGAGATACGAATTTAAATCTTAATTAATCTGAATCATGGACCAACTTATTGACTGGGTAATTGATCTACAATGGAATAAAAGAACTACCAAACCGATAACATATCTTTGCATGTTAAACGAAGTATTTCTACACATGTTGTCACATTCCCAAGACTACATGTCCAGCAACAAGCACATATTATAACGTATCAGTGGCCAAATATTTTTTTCTTTGCAAAAATAAGTAAGCTTTTTACATGTATTTATGAGGTAGGGGAAAAATCAAAGAAAGTTGGTTAATAAATATGATAACATATCAGACTATTCTACATGTTGTTACAAAAAGTAAATAGTCGTTACATATTGTTAATACTCAGATTGTCTGGAATGCTAGTAGGGATGGCAACGAATACCAAAATCAATACTCGAGTACTCGGTCATTTTTCCGATCGAGTACTCGGTTACTCGGATGATTTCCAATGATCTTTGAATTAAAGTTTTATCACACAATATCAACACCGTCTGCATGCCACTTTCGTTTTCTATTTTAATTCATAGAATTCTTAACTATAAATAGGACTGCAAGAAATAGATATAATAAATATAAACATAAGAAATGTCAATTTTGCAGATATCAATTTTTTCCACCACTGCACGTAGGTAGCAAAATACAAAGCTACAAAATAATATTCCGTATTATTTACGTTTTTATAATAAACAAGTTTCGGCTACAAACTGTCTAATAATTTTAAAGGTGATTAAATATCATAAGAGGCCGAATGACGTAAACGACACAGGGCTGTGTAATAATCCCATACACGGGTCAAACTGTGGATCGCCTCGTTAAATTTACGATATCATTTTCACACCTCTGCAAGGATGTTTTGATTGCATTTAACAAGTATTTATACAGATACCTGTACATTTCCGAATTTCTGAACTAATCTTTCTAAATCGAAAAAAAGTAGAAATTAAATTTTTTTTTTCGAGTAATCGAATATCAATTTTGTTAACCGATATTCGGACGTTCGATCGAGTACTCGGTTAACCGGTTACTCGTTGCCATCCCTAAATGCTACTCATGTTCGGGTGTGTCATCAGTCAACAACTGTATTTCAACCACACAATGTCGAACTGGACAGGTATCATACCATCATTATCTTCTTAATTGATAACTTTCAATTATGCTTAAAAATAATTAAAAGCAAAACCGATGTCTTTTTATTAGATCTTTAATATGGGTTATACATAGGGACTAGGGGCGTCAGTGGCCGAGTGGTTAAGATCGTTGACGTTAAACCAATCGCCCCACATTCCGTGTAAACTTCATAACAGACAAAATACTCTTACCCTTATATTGAACAATTAATCAAGTCAATAGAAAAGCCGATAACGTTCTCTCCATCAGCAAAGATTTGTCTGAAGGTTGTTCTACTCAGGTGCCCGTTCGTGCCCGACACAATGCACGGCAGGGCACCTTTGGTCTTCCTCCAGTCGCCATATGACCTGAACTTTGTTGGTGTAAAATGACACCCAACTGAAAATAAAGTAATGTTTACGTTACTATTTAAATAGTTCAATCTTGTTTAAATAAAAGAACACAAAATTAAAAAATAAAGGTTTCTCATGTTATTAAAATGTACGTTGTCATTTTAAAAATATTTATGTTACTTGTAGTCATGTTATACAAACTCCTTTACATCCGGACAAGACACAAAGTTAACAATGGGCTGCACTAATAACGAAGTAAGTTTATGAGTCATCCTAATGAACTAGGTTCGTTAGTATGTGTTAATAACAAGCTAAAATATCTTAACGATAGAATATTTTGATGCGAAACATTATAGAGCATAAATCTTCGTTGAAAGTTTCCATTTCTAAACGATTCAAGGTTCTGAAACAGTAAAAATTTAAATAGCACTGTTTTTGGCTTGTATGTTTGCATTCATAGTTTGAGTAAAAGAGGTTTTTTAAATTATTTGTTCAAAACTTTGACTCTTTTCTAGATACATATCAGTGAACAAGTAAAAATTTTATTACGAAGGTCTAAAATAAAAGCTAATGGCTGAACTTTGAGACCTCATTTAAAGGAATGTAAGGGAAATATGTAACATAGGAATAATTCTTTGTCAGTAAGTGCATTATGATATTCGATAATGAAGTTCTTTTAACTCATGTAATAGCATTAATGTATGTTTTATATGTAGCAATGCGGTATTCAATCAGGCATTGTTGGTCGGGACGTCAGTGAGCGAGAAACGAGTTGCCATGAATGCTGCAGTACAGAGAGATGTAACAATCAACTATGTATCCACTTTAAACGTAAGTTCCTTTTGTAGATCTAAGTTAGCACAAAGAGTAAATAAATAAACTGCCTGTTTTAAATTTCATTTATTACCCTTGGTATGAAGCTACTTTACTGGCTTATACTATATATGTGTCTCTCTGAATAAACAAGACTAATCAGCATATTAATGGTTATATTTTGGCGTGATTATAAAAATCTATTAATTTATAATTCGGTTCAGATTCCTCAAATAATTAAAAGAATTAAAAGACAAACAGTGACTTATATATCAATTCAAAGTTCTGTCCTAGGCCAAAGTGGACCGAAATACAAATGAAAATGATCGAAATAAAATAATAGAATACAATTATACCAAAAGAAAATATAGAGAACCTAAACATTTTAGAGACAATAAGGACAGCAAATTTCCGTTACAAAGATAACTTTGAACAAAATATTATCACCACAACCTAAAACATATCAACAATATTTGAAAAGTAAAATGTCCTATTTAAAATTTGTTATTACTTTTAAGTGAAAAAGGAATCAGAAGTAGGTTACAAGTTATATAAACAAGGATATTTCAGTTTTAAATAAGTGATACAAATGATGTATACGCATAACTTTGATAAAAAAAATAATACTCGTACTTATAAACCTTAACCTTATTAACAATCAAATGTCCAAATTATGCTTTCTTAACATTCCTTTTTTTACAAAATGTAATATCATTTTCATGGGTTTCCTATTTTAATTTGTAATATTGGTTTTGATAAATTCAGACTTCATTTCTAAATTCAAAATTTCACTATTTTCGTGATAATTGTTGAATTCTGCTTAAGCCGTTGCTAGGGGGCGTGGACGGTACCTTGCACTTTCCAGTACCGTCCATAAACAGGCTCAATCAAACCGAGCCTGCAACATTTTCAATTGTGTTGTGTTGTACTTTCTTTAGGGATTCTGTTTTTCTCTATTTCATCATAATATTACGTTAAAATTTCAGCTACAACGTGTATGGACGATGTGAAAGTAGATTGTGCTTACTTAAATGCAATGTTCAACATATGCAAAGACATTCAGCATTCGAAAAATGTCTGTCCGAAATTCTGCGGCCTCTGTACATTAGGTAAATATATTTTCAGGTTACATTTTCTTGTTATGTTTTGTCTATGGTATTTGAGTGTTTTCTACTGGTTATTTTACCTAAACAATCAAAAACTAGAGTATGCAGAAAATAATTACGATTATGCATTGATTTGCACTCTTCTGTTTGAAAGCTAGACAAATAAAGCTAAATTTAAATACTTTGAACGGTGGTTCTGTTACCAAATTCGTGTAATATTATTGTTAATAAGTATTGTCATTTTTCTTGATATTAAAAACGTAAATGTACATACATGTACTATTAAACAATTTAGAGCTAAATGTATGTTTTTTGTTTTTTTCTTCTTTTTTTGCTTAAGTGGACGGAAACTGGGCAGAATGGTCGCAATGGTCGGCTTGTGACGTGACATGTGAAAAAGGGCTGCAGACAAGAAAAAGAACATGTACTAACCCTGCCCCTGCACACAATGGCCTTGACTGTGTTGGAAATAAAACAGATACAAAAACATGTTTAAACCAGCCATGTCCCAGTAAGCTATCGTTGTTCAATTTGAATATTTCATGAACAATAAATTTAATAGTTGAAAGTTAATTCACATCCTTGCAAGACTGTGATAGGTAAATTCACGTAGTTTCTCTTTGTCTAATGTTCAAACATTGATGTAATTGTTTCTTATCAGACTTCAAGACTTCAGACTTCTATCTAGATTATATTATACAAATCTGGCGGAAAAAGTGATCCATCGGAAGCATTAAATACAGCAAAATTACATGAAAATTGCAGATTCGGTTTGAATGAGTCTGTACATAAGGGATAATGAAAAAGTGCAACATCCAAACAAATATCAAAACTGTATCATAACCTAAAAAGAGAATCACTCAAGTGGACCAACATATGCCTGATAGCCTGATTCAAAAGAAGGTATCACAGACAAAAATATGCCTTTAAGATAAATTCTTAAAAAGTTACACTGCCGAAACAATGTTTTTTTAAAGATATTCTGTTTTAACTCTGGCAAAACTCTTTCAATAATATATTGATTGCAGTGAAAATCAACTTAACCTGTCTTTTGAAATAACATTACTTACTTTCAAAATATAAACATAATTATAGAAATCCTTGAAAAGCTTTGCTATAGAAACCAATAATCTGATATAAATTTGCTTAAAAAGAAGCATGACTCCTTAATTCATTGCTGCGAAAAACAAACTTGGCCTGTGTTTTGATATAACATACTCACTTGTCAAGTTTAACATAATCCTTAAAAATAATCCCACGGAAACCAGTTATTTAACATGAAATTGGTTAAAAAATATTCGAAAAATGTATGACCGAAATTCTACATTATACATGTTATACAAAATGTACCATCAAAAATAAGTTGATTGCACACGAAAATCGAACTTGGTCTGTGTTTTGAAATAGAATTCTTATATGCCTAATATAAAAACTATTTTTGAAATCCTTCAAAACCAATTATCTACGGACCGGTGGACATACCGTTTATCGATGCCATACCATAATACGATCTGAAGTTTATTCGGCCATGTGAAAATAACTTGCTGTCGTGACTATAAATCAAAGTCATGTCAAATAAAATTGCAAAATAAATTTGTAAGTTCAAAATGTATTCCTTTTTTAGTTCACGGTGGATGGACAGGATGGGAAAATTGGGGGCATGCTCAGTAACATGCGATGTTGGGGTACAGAGAAGGGTTCGTAATTGCACAAATCCTTACCCTTCACGCTTTGGAGATCATTGCTTCGGAGATCCATTGGAATACAAAATATGTATGCAAGGTCCATGTACAAGTAAGTCGATGATCATAAATTTTGGGATTTTTTACATTAGTATTTTGGCTATATAGAGTCCCGGTAAACAAGATATATATGAAAGAAGAAAAAGAAAAAATACAAGGTTTGTTTTGAGCAATTATAACTGTACCCTTGCTATTTTGACACTAGGATTGACTTCTTGCAACAAATATGATGTAATTAATATTCATTTTCTAATATAAACATTTTATTGATTACACAGACGGAGGATGGTCTACTTAGGGAACGTGGACAACTTGCTCGGCAACATGTGATGGAGGTTTGCGATCAAGATTCAGAAATTGTACAAATCCATCACCATCTCTACATGGGCAATATTGTGCTGGACCAGTGACAGAGATGGAAGATTGCAACCAGAAACAATGCGGTTAGTAACTTGAAATTTAAGGATTTGTAATCCTCGAATAACAACCTGAGATATAGGGGTCGGCAATTTTTTACAGTTGTCATAAGTGACTTACATAATGCTGTAAAAATAAACAGTTTGGAAGCCCCCGGGGCCATTATTCATTTTGCGGGCCGATTATCACCTTCCGGCCCTACTCTGCCGTGTATTAATCTCTTAATAATTATATTTAAGGGGAAAATGCAGCATATGAAAATGCATTAAAAATTTCTCTTGGTGGTTTGGTTTCCATACTGTTTATTTTTACAGCTTTATGTAAGTCACTAATGACAACTGTAAAAATTGCCGACCCCTATATCTCAGATTGTTATTCGAGGATTACAAAATTTAGATACAATTCAGAAGTGGGCAATAGAAAATGGGTTTAAATTTTCAAAGTCAAAAACTCAATGTGTTCATTTCTGCCGATTGCGAAAACAACATAATGACCCTGAACTTTACATATCTGGTTCTAAAATTCCAGTAGTTAATGAAGCTAAGTTTCTAGGAATTATATTTGATAAAAAACTTTCTTTTATACCACATATTAAACATTTGAAAACTAAATGCCTAAAAGCTTTAAATTTACTTAAGACTTTATCAAGTACAAATTGGGGATCAAATTCTTCCACATTACTGAAATTATACAGAAGTCTTATCCGATCAAAATTAGATTATGGTTCTGTAGTATATGGGTCTGCAAGAAAATCATATCTTCAAATGCTAGATACCATACATCACCAGGGTTTACGTTTAGCTTTAGGTGCTTTTCGCACTTCACCTGTAGAAAGTCTATATGCGGAAGCTGGGGAACCATCGCTTTATCTTCGTCGTAAAAAGCTATCACTTCAATATGCAACTAGAATTTCATCTAATAGGAAAAATAAAATATTATTTTCAAACCAAGTTATACTGAAAAATTTGTTAACAAACCAAAGGAAATTAAACCATTAGGCCTTCGTTTAAAAGATGATTTAGATAAACTTAAAATTAATCCAGACAGTATTCTTCAAAATGACGATGAGGATGTTCCACCTTGGACTTATAATTCCCCGGAAATAAATATTAACCTTTCAAATATAAAAAAGGCATCAAATTCACCTGAATATTTCAAAGAGAAGTTTCTAGCAATTAAGGAAGAACATGAAGATTTTATACATATTTATACGGACGGTTCAAAAGAAGGTTGCAAAGTAGGTGCGGCTGTGTTTGAAAATAATTTTACATCTAGTATGAGGTTACCAGATAATGCATCAATTTTTACTGCTGAAGCAAAAGCTATCGATTTAGCATTGTCATACATAGCACAGCATACCCACGATAAATTTGTGATATTTTCTGACTCGCTTTCTGTTTTAATATCCATTAAAAATAAAAAATCTGACAATATCATGGTAAAGAAACTTCTTTTACGATTTCATGATATACTTAAAACAAAATAATTTTATGTTAAATTATATTGGATTCCAAGCCATGTAGGAATACGAGGAAATGAAAAAGTAGATGCTTTAGCTAAACAATCATTAAATTTTCAAAAAACTGACATATTGTTACCTGCTTGTGATTTTAGACCGGCTATAAATAAACTCGTATCATCTGAATGGAAAGCAAATTGGGACAATGCCGTTTTTAATAAACTTCACGATATAAACCCATCTCTTGATATGTCACCATCGCTATCTCTGTCAAACCGCCGTGATCAAACAGTTCTTCTTCGATGCCGAATTGGACACACTAAAATCACCCACTCTTATCTCCTCACAAATGACAATGCCCCTTTCTGTGTAGGTTGTAATGAAAATTTTACTGTCAAGCATTTTCTTCTTGAATGTCATGATTATTCACAGGCTCGTAATAGATTTTATTCTGTAAATTCATTCAAAGAACTTTTTAATACAATTCCATCAAAAAACATAATTGATTATTTAAAAGAGATAAACTTGTATTCTAGGATCTAATTGGCTCATTTCTATTGTCATTTACAATGTTTTACATAATATTTTAAGCCTATTATAGCATTCGGCACGATATGGCCAGTTATGTGTTGACGTGCCGTAAAAATCCAAACAAACAAACAAACATATCTTTGAGTGTTGGAGATGGAAAGAAATATTTCTTTGGAGTGTATACATCTGCAGACGCACGAGGACTCATTTAAAAACCGAACCCACAGGGCATGAAAAAAAAATACTGCAATATCAGCCCGTGTAATTCCGTAACCAAAACATCGAAGGACACCATACTCACACGTTAAAGCCTTATGAAACCAGCTTAAACCATGCATGTATATCACCTTCAAAAGCAAAACATTATGTTATATATCAAACAATATAACACAGGATACCTGCGGCCATAAAAATCTGTTTTGCCTCATTTAAACTTTGCTCGAAGAGTAATTGACTTGTGAGATTCAGAAACATTAGATATTTCAACATCCAAAATACAGATTCTGCAGTACCTTGCGTTCTTGGTCGGGATTTCGCTCATATTATACATCAACTCGTAGTACAATTTGTTGGCCTAAGCCTGCTACTGAGAGTCCTGCATCACAACTATGAATCTGCACACGTAATAACTGCTATTATAACATAATAAAACATGCACTTCTACCATTTCTTAATGCATACAAAAATCCGGAATAAATTTTGTAATATCTCGGCAAAGAATCTTTAAAAAGACTCCTATTGTTATCGTTTATAAGCATCAATATCTCGAATCATGTCTTTAACACATAAATAGTGTTGATTCAGTAGTCATTACATACAAATAATCTATAAATTTAGGCTTTACTAGGCCTGTTAATACCAAAACAAAGCTCAAATTGATGACTAAAATAACAATACTTATCAAATACATAAAATTTACTCTCTTGATCACTAAACAGCGGACACTTCAATTTTTGACAAGATTTTTAACCGTTTAATTACATTTCATACCACATTAAAAAACTACTCTTAAAGACATTTGGACATTTCTAATTATTTAC